TATATTTACACTAATATCTTGGCCTGCAAGAGCACTCGTTAATTCTTTCATGACATCTGCAGCACAATTCACAAACTTGTTTACACATAACAGAAAATCATACTTTCATTCTATATTATTGAATTGTTCCCAAACAAAGAAACTACAATAAAAGAAATATACAAGTGCAATGGTTTGAAGAACCTTGGTAGGGCTGACATAATGTTTCGTCACCAAATGTCATGCTTACACATACACAGCTGACAAAGGTAAGAGATCAATTTTCCATAAAAGCACGTGTTTTATGTTCCTAAAACCATCCTGTCAGAATCATGTCATTGATCTTATTATATTTACATAGTTCAATTTCCTTGGAAAATTGATTGACAGAGTCGATTACGACACAGACCAAACAGATTTTGTGTAAACTACACCCACGCAGAATATCTTATAAATCTTTTGATTATTAATTAAAATATGCATTTTACCATTGCATTGACTGAGTCACACCTAAAACATCACAAAATCAATAAATTTGAAAAAATAAATCATAATCATGGTAATAACTAGGAATTGATAAAATATAGTTATCTCCTCTGATTTGGGCTCATGTGTAACGGCATAAAAAAGTGCATTAAAACAGTTCTTTTGATATTCTATTAAGTTAGAAAATGTAGAGAAGAACATCAGTTTTGACTGTTTAACACTTGTGAATTAAACATGTAGCACTGATGGCCATTAGTTCAGGAAGTGGCCCACCAGGAGAAAAGGGACCTTATGGGTGCTAGGATACAATTGTGCTTTGAGGTCATAAAGACGGTTAATGTCAACTTACTTCAGTGAAGATCAAAATGTGTGATGTCATGTATCTCTGTAATAAATATGAGTTGAAGCTTGTGAATTGTATTCATGTGTTCTGAAGATGCTGTAGTTTTAAAATATAATGAAAAATCAAAATGTGATGTTTCACCCATAAGGTCCCTTATCTCATGGTTGGTCACAAGTATGAACTTACAAATGCTACCTGACACATACTGATATGGCGATCAATCCAATATCATACAAAATAATATACTACTCAACCTTTTATATGGCTATTCTTACAATTCAATCATATACAAACTGTTACTAAATATATGTATATGAGTGAGTGAGTGAGTGAGTATGGTTTTACGCCGCTTTTAGCAATATTCAAGCAATATCACGGCGGGGGAAACCAGAAATGGGCTTCACACATTGTATACTTGGGGTGGCCGGGTCTTTGGCGTGACGAGCGAACGCTTTAACCCCTAGGCTACCCGACCGCCCCAAATATATGTATATGTATTTGTTTGAACTATCATCAATTTCCTTACAAAAAGTTAAGTATTACGTCTTATGGAGTTCAGAGAGATCTAAGGGACTTAATCATGTGTTGTTAGTTGAAACAATTCTCTGTATCTCTTCATCCATGAGTGTCTAATCTTTGTGATGTTTTGGTTTACATACTTTTCATGATTATACACAGCTACCATACCTACGTGCTGCTACACTTCAAACAAAAATGAATACCAAATACTGTAAATTCACAAAATATTGTATAAGATAAATATTTGTAATTCTGTATGGTGGATGTTTCACTGCGGCAAGTAGTCAAATTGCTTCATAAACCTTTGACCATCCGTACAAAATATGAATAAAACAATGTGTTCAAGTAATCCAGTACAGTAACTGTTGAACCAAAATCTTTCAATACATTTCAGAATGCTGCTAGACCTACTGTACAGACATTAAAACCTTCAAAACAAACATGTTCTGGAGTCTGGAGAACAAAAATGAGATTACTAACAACACCTCTGGAAATAAAATACCAATGTAATAAATCTGGTCAGTGTGTAAGGGATGATAATAAAATGAAAGATCTAATTGCATATTTTGAATCATGCACCGACTAACAAGTGTCAGGCTGCATTCAACAGTGCAAATATTTGCAGTGATGCTCTACAGTTATAAAGATAAAGGAGTGAGTGAGTTTGATATTACACCTTTTAGCAATATTCCAGCAATATCATGGCGGGGGACACCAGAAATGGGCTTCACACATTGCACCCATGTCGGGCATCGAACCCGGGTCTTCAGCGTGATGAGCGAACGCTTTAACCGCTAGGCTACCCAACCGCCCCTTATAAAGATTAGGATACACATATGAAGCATATACCATGACAGATTAACTACAGTAATTGTGTGGTCCTTAACGTTTTTTGAGGGTATAACATGCTTTCTTACAAATAAAAGGAAGTTAAAAGGAAGTTAACCCATAATCCTGTCCGAGTTCAATCTGATAGATGCATGACAAGTAGACCATTCAGTATTAAGACTTCTGTCAAGTCAGAGACACCCAGTGTACAGTTGCACTAATATCTAAATTCAAGTAAGAAGCTTCACGGAAACCTAGTGTACAGTTACACCAAAGAAAACTGATACCTGGGATCATTTGGGAGCAGACACCTAATACACACCAAAGAGAACTGGCATCTGTGCTCATGTCAGAGGCTGAGCAGACACTTTGTGTACACCAAACAGAACTGGCATCTGTGCTCTTGTCAGAGGCTGAGCAGACACCTTGTGTACACCACAGAGAACTGGCATCTGTGCTCGCGTCAGAGGCTGAGCAGACACTTTGTGTACACCACAGAGAACTGGCATCTATGCTCGCGTCAGAGGCTGAGCAGACACCTAGTGTACACCACAGAGAACTGGCATCTGTGCTCGCGTCAGAGGCTGAGCAGACACTTTGTGTACACCACAGAGAACTGGCATCTATGCTCTTGTCAGAGGCTGAGCAGACACCTAGTGTACACCAAAGAGAACTGGCATCTATGCTCTTGTCAGACGCTAAGCAGACACCTAGTGTACACCAAATAGAACTGGCATCTGTGCTCTTGTCAGAGGCTGAGCAGACACTTTGTGTACACCAAAGAGAACTGGCATCTGTGCTCATGTCAGAGGCTGAGCAGACACCTAGTGTACACCAAATAGAACTGGCATCTGTGCTCTTGTCAGAGGCTGAGCAGACACTTTGTGTACACCAAATAGAACTGGCATCTGTGCTCGCGTCAGAGGCTGAGCAGACACTTTGTGTACACCACAGAGAACTGGCATCTATGCTCGTGTCGGAGGCTGAGCAGACACTTTGTGTACACCACAGAGAACTGGCATCTATGCTCTTGTCAGAGGCTGAGCAGACACCTAGTGTACACCAAATAGAACTGGCATCTATGCTCGCGTCAGAGGCTGAGCAGACACTTTGTGTACACCACAGAGAACTGACATCTGTGTTCGTGTCAGAGGCTTAGCAGACACCTAGTGTACACCACAGAGAACTGGCATCTATGCTCACGTCAGAGGCTGAGCAGACACTTTGTGTACACCACAGAGAACTGACATCTGTGTTCGTGTCAGAGGCTGAGCAGACACCTTGTGTACACCAGAGAGAACTGACATCTATGTTCATGTCAGAGGCTGAGCAGATACCGAGTGTATAGTTACACTAAAGAGAACTGACACCTGTATTCATGTCAGAAGCTGAGCAGAAATCCAGTATACACTTACACCAAAGCAAATATATATACTGCTGTGTGACATATGAAACAATTTGATAGATCCTCTCACTTGATGATGCAGTCTACCTGAAATACACTTCAATAAATGTGCCATCCTTTCTTGTGACCCTTCATAATGTTCATCCTAGTAGTACTCAGAATAAATGTCAAATTGTCTTAGAGTGTGAGTGAGTTGGGTTAAACGCCGTTTTAACAGTATTCCAGTTATATCACGGCGTGTCAGCTTGATGTGGGAGGAAAGCCCGAAGTGATGCAAGTCTAAGACGTTTACCACTTCGGTGAAACCCACGAGCACGGGTATGGTGCTGACAAACCTAGAAACATAATCGGGGCAAATCGGGATTTGAACCCACAATCATAGGTTTCCGGCGTGCCCAAGGGACACAACTCTGCACAGCGAATCACGGCGCCTTAGACGACTGGGCCACCCGTGCCCCCTATTTGTCTTAGAAACTTGACAAACTCAAACTACTGTAGACAGTCTAGCGACAGATCTTCTAACGATTACTTTATTCAAATGATAACCTTGGATCAAATAAACAATATAACTGATGAAGTGTAAGCATGATAAAGTTGACCATAACACATGAAGAAAGAATGAAAACATTTGTTCACAGGTCATAAAAGAACTATTTGCAGAAGGTATATTGAGTTCTGCCCTCTGTTTTAGTATAAGTTCCTGGGTTCTAATTACACTGGTTATAACATTAACAATGAAGTTACAGCCAACTATTAACATCTGCACCACAAATAGAGTAAAGACCATCATATTTAGTTATCAAAGTACAAAACACATCTCTCATCTGTGTCAAACATTCACAGCACTGTACACAGAACAAAGGAGTAGGACAACAACGGCAAGACATACAGTGTAGAGATAACAGGTGATCACTGGGTTTGAAGACATCAACAGGCAGCTTATGGACATGATGTTTACATGTGACCATCACATCTCATGTGTCGGCTAAGGTCACCGACTAGAATAATATACATGTACTGCAACAACACGTCTTCACATGTACAATTGTTGTCTGAAGTTGACAAGAACATACTGCAGAATATCAGATATCATCTCTCATGCATCTGTCCACAAAGAAAATAGGCATAAGTTTAAATGTACAGAGAAATACCAAAACCAATTGTTGTAGTACAATCAGATGTCACATAATCTGATAATCATTACATAAATGATAAATGTCCTATTTGCTTCTGATTTCAAATAAATTTCAATTGATAGATCTTAAATAAAAAAAGAAGCTAGATTACATGTTGTCTTTCAAGTTTGGTTTAAAGCTGCTTTGAACAGTGTCACAGTTAGAACACAGCGTGTTAGCTTGATGTGGGGGGAAAGCCCGAAGTGATGCAGGTTTTAGGCATCTACCACTTTGCTGAAACCCACCAGCATGGGTATGGTGCTGACAAACCTAGAAACAAAATTGAGGCGAACCCGGAATCAAACCAACAATCACAGGTTTCTGGCATGTCCAAGAGACGCAACTGTGCACAGCGAGTTGCGGCGCCTTAGATGACTGGGCCATCCGTGCTCCCACCTAAAATGAGGGAGGCTTACTACTAGGGTGAAACCAATCAGCAAGGCTATTGTGCTGACAAACCAAGGCTCACAATCCTGCTGAATTATGGATTAAAACATACCACCTGTAGATCTTAGCATGGGTAATGGATGCAAAGTCTGAAGAGGAAATCGCCAATTACAGTCCAACCAGGATTCTAATGCAACCAACCCTCTAATGTTCTATAATAAGTATTCAATATGAAAGTAAGTACGTACTATATGTCAACTTCTTACACTTGCTGGACATTAGCCAATGGAACGATTTTTGCATTATTCTCCTTTTCAAAAGTTCTATTCAAACAATAATTTGTGAGCAAAAAGACAGAATGATGAATCTTGTGGTGTCTGAGTGTGAAAGAAGAACGGTCAATTTGGTTCACACCAGTCACCATCAGCAATATTCCAGCCATATCACAACAACCTGTAAAAGTCGGGCAAGGCAATACAGAGGTTGAAAACATATGCAACAATCCACACAGTTTCACACACTCAATAAAATCATCTACTGTGACACACTAATCGTCATTTTGCATGTCTCATGTCTGTAAGCGTTTCGATGTTGACCTGCATAGCTGATCATGGAGTGCTGATCATTTTACAGACAAGGATGATGATCAAAAGAGTGTTGTAAATAGAAAATGGTCTTGGCATAATGTGAAGTTCAGGAACTCACAGGCTGACGCAATGACCAAGCCAGCTCTTCAATCTATTGCATTCCTGTAAAGAATGTCATCTGAAAACACAAAGCAATCACAGCTTTATGCAGGGATGAGAATGGATTATTCCTTTCCAGCTGAAACTTCTTTGCAATGGAGTGTTGTCCATAATTTGGGGGTGCTTATGGGGGAGGCCATCAGATTTTAACAAATCTGTGGTCACTAAAATTTGCGGATCCGCGGAAGACTCTCACCCCTGTAGTGTATATGACTGTCGTAGGTTATATTAACGTGGGAGATCTTCTTGGTGTGAAAGAGCAAAGAGGCCCCGATTGTTCAAGATCCTGCCCTTGAGACTTGCTTGGGGAGGAAAATATTCTGTGACAATAATAAACAAATCAATTAAAATATTGCAGACCAATTATGAAAAAAACCTTGTGTAAGCTAGATATAAATGTTCCTAATCTTCAGTGTTCATGTAATGTGTATCTTGATTGCATACATGAGTTACTACAAACTATTTCAACCATGTCAACACCATACACTTCCTAAAGAAAATTAAAACTTGACAAACAACATCCTCCTAAACATGATTAGCTACCTCATCATAAATATTTAAGTTGGCACAAATGATGAGCTTGATGCCCAGGGGGATCATGATACAAGTTAATGCACATACCCTGTATTCCTTCCTCTGAACAATCAAGAATTATCAACGACAACCACCACCTTCCCACCACTCTTTGAGAATATGTCAAACAGTCTGGAATAGAACCAATGCCCCTGAACAGATACGTTCCTTATGAAATCAGCTAATGATATGTTTGTTCACCAGCTTTGCAGATAAGAGCTGGCATCAGGTTTGACGTCGGCTTACCGGATATGCCAAAGCAGAGGACTCTGAGAATGGGCTTCACGCATTCTAAACGTGGGAATCTAATCCAGGTCTTCAAGCATGACTAGATATTAAACACTAGACACACAACTCCCACTCAATTTGGAAACAAGTCTTAAGACTCCGCTGTGATCAATTTACTGCTTAACTAGCATGATTTTAAGGTTTTTATGTAATCTACTAAAATTTACGATAATGAGTCATCATAGCATTCGTATCTGGAACTAACAATGATTAACAGACTGATTAATAAATGAATCTTATTGTTGACTACCTGAAGCACATCCAACCATATGTGGCAGTCGTCAAACAATGCTGCCACTCCCATTGCCAATGATTTGCATATAACAGCTGAGTCTATGTACATCATGTACAAAATCTACCTGTCTAGTCTACTATCACACATGATATATACACAGTCACACACAGGAGACTGGGAATACAACAGACATGTCAGGGCAGAGCATGCAGGCTTAGGCCATTTACATGATTAAATGGGAAAACGGGATTAACAGCCTTACTTGATATTACAATCGACAACTAGCTGCTCTAGAGTCATTCAGATTGTACAGCTCGACAACCAACTGCTCTAGTGTCATTCAGATTGTACAGCTCGACAACCAGCTGTTCTAGTGTCATTCAGATTGTACAGCTCGACAATTAGCTGCTCTAGTGTCATTCAGATAGTACAGCTCGACAACCAGCTGCTCTAGTGTCATTCAGATAATACAGCTCGACAACCAGCTGCTCTAGTGTCATTCAGATTGTACAGCTCGACAACCAGCTGCTCTAGTGTCACTCAGATTGTACAGCTCGACAACCAGCTGCTCTAGTGTCATTCAGATTGTACAGCTCCACAACCAGCTGCTCTAGTGTCATTCAGATAGTACAGCTTGACAACCAGCTGCTCTAGTGTCATTCAGAATGTACAGCTCCACAACCAGCTGCTCTAGTGTCATTCAGATTGTACAGCTCCACAACCAGCTGCTCTAGTGTCATTCAGATAGTACAGCTTGACAACCAGCTGCTCTAGTGTCATTCAGATAGTACAGCTCGACAACCAGCTGCTCTAGTGTCATTCAGAATGTACAGCTCGACAACCAGCTGCTCTAGTGTCATTCAGATAATACAGCTCGACAACCAGCTGCTCTAGTGTCATTCAGATTGTACAGCTCGACAACCAGCTGCTCTAGTGTCATTCAGAATGTACAGCTCGACAACCAGCTGCTCTAGTGTCATTCAGATAGTACAGCTCGACAACCAGCTGCTCTAGTGTCATTCAGATTGTACAGCTCGACAACCAGCTGCTCTAGTGTTACCAGATAGGAGGATCTTAAACTGGTAATGTCAACAGCTGGATCTGTGATATATTTGAGCTCCACCTTGGCTGCTACACCTCCACACATGTTAGGCTTCATGCATCGTCCTGAGGCGAGAGCATCCACCAGCCTTTTCATCAAAGTCTTGTTTCCACCCTTGCCACATCAAGGCCATTTTCCTGTGTCTAAATATGATTGGACTGTCGCACTATATCGATAGTCCAATTAGAGTACATTTCACAAAATCAACATCCACGACCGGTACACCTTCGTGTGAAAGTGATTTACCGCCGCCTGCCTTTGTTGATACAAATATGTTTTTCCATCTTTAAACCCCTGAACGATTGCCTAAGTTTTTGTGTCAGGGATTAAACTGTGAATGTTTTCGTCATTTGATCGACTAGGTTGCCTGTGGTAGTTGCTATCTTTGTGAAGCTATACGAGATAAGAACAGTGATCTGATTGGATATGAGTTTTCATTACAAGGGGCAAAACTTGTGATCTACGCGAGGTGGCACCAGGGTCGAGCCATGAAAAGTGGCCTTGATGTGGCAAGGGTATAAACTAGGCTTTGATATAGGCTAGTGGTCACGCTTGCCTAGGGAAGATGGGCTTCATGTAACAGCGTGCTACTGCAACATATTAATCACATCAGTGTTGGTGGATCTTTCAGTATGGGCATTAGGTGCCGAAAGGATCACATCACAATGTGAGATGAGCTGTGTTCGTATGGGACTGATTGGTGAAAGATAATGCTGTTCTGTCATCATCAACAATATTTGTAACTAGTGTTAAAGGCCGAGGCAACATTGGTCCACTAAAACCAGAGACACTGTTCACCAACATCATCGTTTCCTGGACAAATTAAGAATACATCATACATTCTATTTAATAGGACTAGCCATGTTTCTTGATCGGCATGATATGGAGTATCTACACTGTCACATGTTCAGCCTAGTTTTCACTTGACATGCTTTCTCTTTTCCATATGTAAATCGTCTTGTTTCCTGATGCACTGTAGCCAGCCACATTTTCCAACAATAAAGGACCAGCCCTGTTTCCTCACTTTCAACATATCACACTGCGTATAGGACCAGACATTTTTCCTTAAAATATAGGGCCTGCCATGCTTCTTCACTTCCACAGAATAGGACCAGTCGTGTTTCCACACTTCCACAGAATAGGAACAGTCGTGTTTCCACACTTCCACAATAAAGGACCAGACGTGTTTCCACACTCCCTCAATAAAGGACCAGTCGTGTTTCCACACTTCCTCAATAAAGGACAAGTCGTGTTTCCACACTTCCACAATGAAGGACTAGCCATGCTTCCACAATAAAGGACCAGCCATGTTTCCACAGTTCCACAATAAAGGACAAGTCGTGTTTCCACACTTCAACAATAAAGGACTAGCCATGTTTCCACAATAAAGGACCAGCCATGTTTCCACACTTCCACAAAAAAGGATCAGTCATGTTTCCACACTTTCACAATAAAGGACCAGTCATGAGTCCTGATTTTCTAGAACCAGCTATGTCCATATCTAACAATCATCCTCAAACACTTATACCAATTGAAATCTCTGTCTAACTGTCAGTCAAGACTCAGTTGTCCCGTTTATTGTCTAGCAATACGAGCAGATGACTGCCTCTCTGATATACCTGATAAATTGTATCTAAAACAAATAAATTAATCATAAAAGTAGTCTTGATAAATATAAAAGTATCCAAAAATGCAATGATTGGTATTTTCATAAATCTCTACAAAAGTCTGGCAATGTTACAACCTTACAGAGCTTAGATAGTCCATGTCACAATCGATCACAACTAGCACTTCCACATGCTCTAGCACTGCAGTCTGGGTCTGTATTCTCTGGTCTTTACATGCACCATGCGTAATACTGGCCAAGAGCAAGCTACAATACAACTCTCCACATGCTCTTCCCTATATTAACATTGTCACTTGCTTTTCCCTATATCAAGTGTCACACGGTCTTCCTCATATTAACAGTGTCACTTTCTCTTCCCTATATGAACAGCGTCACATGCTCTCCCCTAGATCAACAGTGTCACTTTCTCTTCCCTATATAAACAGCGTGACATGCTCTCCCCTAGATAAACAGTGTCACTTTCTCTTCCCTATATGAACAGCGTCACATGCTCTCCCCTAGATCAACAGTGTCACTTTCTCTTCCCTATATGAACAGCGTGACATGCTCTCCCCTAGATCAACAGTGTCACTTTCTCTTCCCTATATGAACAGCGTCACATGCTCTCCCCTAGATCAACAGTGTCACTTTCTCTTCCCTATATGAACAGCGTGACATGCTCTCCCCTAGATCAACAGTGTCACTTCATCACTGCAGTTGCCTAGGTTTGTCAGTGGCAGATCTATGCCGACACATATCTCATCCTCTTCTTCCCCGTCCTCTGAGTCCATACAAAGGCGGTGATCCTCTTGGAACATGTATGGGGAGAGATGTCGGACGCTGGTCATCACGTGGACAATGTTGGCCTCGAGGTACAGTCATAAGTCAGGAAAGCGGTTGGGGTCTTCACGGTAATCGGAGGGAATAATGAAGAGTTCTTCTGGGAGTTCTTCTTGCCATTCAAACATTGTGAAGGTCACCTTGGCAGTGACAGTTGGGAATACTGGAATTTCTGAAACACAACACCGTAAACATCGTCAGTCGCCTCTTATGATAAGCATGGGATGCTGACGACCAATTCTAACCCAGATCTTCATCAGGCCTATGCATATTCTTCACTAATATAGTGATAGCATGATGCAATAAAATAAATAAAAAATTAAAATAAAAGAAATGGATTTCCTTTAAATACGATTTCAGAGGAAGCTAAACAAATCAAAGAAAGTATATTAGAACGAAACAAGTCAAATGCAGTTTTCTCAAACACATCAATCTCTGCATGTCTTTGAGGATAATACATGGTGAGGTGAGGTGAAATGGGGTTTAACGTTGCGTCCAAGATTATTGCACTTATATAGCGACGTGCATGCACGTGTGTGTGTGGCTGCTTGTACTAGTCCGGACTGATGCCGATTTATAGTGCTAGCACACTGAGATACCATGCCGCAGTTTAACATGAATACCTCACTCAGACACAGTATACTGACTCCGAGCCGACAGGGTAACAACAAGTACCATCTTTTAACGTCTTTTGGTATGACGAGGCCGGGGATCGAACCCCAGACCTTCCGCTCTCTTGGCGGACGCTCTATCTCTAGACCACGGAGGCGGTGAGGATAATACGTACCTATCTTCACAGGGAACCCTGGCGGAAGCTTAGTTGTCATGAACTCTCTCAGTTTTTGAAATTGTTTAAAAGGTGCCACAACTTCTAGGACATCTAGTAATCTGAAAAGAACATGGCTTTATGAGAAGTGAGACAATGCACTACCCCAGGCAAAGCATGAAGACTACATTCAACAAGAAGTCGGGGAATTTCATTTAACAGCAGAGGAAATAAGGTACTATCGAAGTGTTTCACACATATAGGAGTCATTTTGGATCTCTCTTTGAAAATTCAAATGTTCGTATGATGTACTAAATTGATTTATTTGAAGATTATCTCCCCTTGTCCACGCAATTTGATCAAACGTTCATATGAAGACAGAGACTGAACCTAGTAATACATAAAGTAATTGAGGAGAACTTGTAAATTTTACATTAAATTGTATATATCACTTATCCTATCTCACACTATGCATTTCTTCCTTCTTCTTTCAATTCTCATGTGGAAACGTGCCTGAACCAAGTTTCCAGCTTCTAAAAACATTTTGCCTGAACACATCCAAGCGTCACCATGATAACCACCCCAACAATGAGTAGGCTGGTGATACAAATAAAGAATCAAAAACACTGCCTAGTGTTGTAAAAGACAAGAACTCGTGAGCGGATAAAACAGGCGATGTGACCCCTTTGCACTTGTCAGACATGACATCATGAAATCTGGAATAACCATCTTCCCAAAGCAAGGGAGTTAACAGACTATAAAAGACCAGTTTCCACCCTTGCCGAACTAGGCTAGAAATAGGCTAGCCACTGTGGATATTACGAGTTATGTGCCTTCTATGTCCTTCCTACTGACCATTCAGATCTGATCGATAATCAATATCTATATTATGATAAAATTGGTCTTACTTCATGAACTGCATCAAATCATGTAAGCACCTTGATCAAAAACATGAAAAGATTTGGGAAATATCTGTTGACGTCAAGTTGGCGGTACACATGCTTTACAAATCCTGGAATCGATTGAAATCTGCACAGCAGTTTACAAACCAGATGTCGATTTTGTAACATGATTTTGATTGGACTATGCATAGACTTCTTAGTCCAGCTAAACTATAACCTCATAATTCCAGCCTAGTTCAGCAAGGGTGGAAACTGGACTTTGTCTGTCAGTTAACACCCTTGCCTTGGGAGGATGGGGTATAACATGTGTTACAGTACATGTTTTCACATAGTCCCACGACAATCTCTGCATGTCTTTGAGAATAATACGTATGTATTTTCACTGGGAAGCCTCATTACACATATGACAGCAGTTTTCCCGGAAGCTGATCTTGACGATGAGTGAGTGAGTGAGTTGGGTTTAACGCCGCTTTTAACAGTATTCCAGTTACATCACGGTGTGTCAGCTTAATGTGGGAGGAAAGCCTGAAGTGATGCAGGTCTCAGACTTTTACCACTTTGGTGGAACCCATAAGCACAGGTATGGTGCTGACAAACCTAGAAACATAATCGGGGTGAACCGGGATTCGAACCCACAATTGTAGGTTTCTGGCATGCACGAGTAGGAACCATTCTCTGAGTCAGGAGTATGTCACAGTGTGAGATAGTATAAGTTTAACATGTTTTATCAATTATTCAACATCCTCTAAACCAAATCTAATGACAATGGGTATGGAATAAATTCAACACTTACATTTCAACACTCATCGGGAAATCCTCACTCTGAAATGGAGAAAAATTGTTCTTTGAGACATTTTTCAACAACAGGATATCTTTTTAAACTTCATGACACTTCTTGAAACTAAAACTAGCTCTGCAGTGGCCTTACTTTTTGCTACACCAACTACATTACATCTAAAGATGCAGAACTTTTATCATAGGTTTCACTCTTGCAGGAGGCCAAGACGTGCTGAAAATGCAGGGCACTGCATGTTCTCACCATCGCAACAGTTGCCTTGAAGCCCTTGGTACTCTCCTTGGCAATGAGAGTCCGTCCTAAACATGGGGGTCGTCCTGGCAAGGCATTAATGTACTCAGACCAGCTGGTGATGGGGTTGTCAGGTGGTTCCAGTGATGGGCGGCGCTCAAACTGAAACACCAAGACACCTTGCACAGTCTGTTGACAAGCAGATCTTATATTTTTTCCCAATTCCTTGCAGCAACATCGACCTTTTGCTGCCTTTTGAGCCAACTCTGTTTTTAATGTCTTTATGCAAAATAGCTTAGACTAAACAAGAACGAGAAAGTTTTTTAATAGGTGACAACTTTATTAGACTTACAGCACAATTGTCCCAGGTGCCTTTACTGAAGTTCTCCATGATTGCCTTATTCTTCTGTACATCCTCTGGAGACAGGTGCTCTCTCCTGTAACCATGGCAACATCCTATATTATAATCTGTGATGATATCTCTACAACAATACAGTGTTCCCTCACTATTGCGCGCTTCAATATAGCGCTAACTCGGTTATAGCGCGCGGTAAAGCATGGCTCCCAAATTTTCACATTGACACATACTTTGAGTTAGTATTTTATGATTTAATCATTCTATTTCCAATTTTAAGCAGTCTTCAAACAAATATTACTCATTATTCAAATATAGAATAGAAAATATTTGACATAAAATTATCAATAGAGGAACAGGTGATGTTTCCAAAGAGACAATTGGATTGATGAAAATCACGAGGGATTCCATCACCACTCCTAAAACCTGAACAGCAAGAACAACATTTGAACTGGTGTTTGGAGCATAGAAATCTCAGTTGGGACAATGTTATCTTCTCAGAGGAAGGTTCAGTGTGGCTTTATCCAAACTGCATAAAAATGTGGACCAAAGGCACAGAAAAACCAATTGACCAGCGTCCAAAATACAGTCCTAAATTTCATGTCTGTGGTCATCATCCCGAGGCAAGGACTATAAAAGTCCAGTTTCCACCCTTGCTGAACTAGGCTGGAATTATGGAGTTACATGTATATATTTTGACTGGACTAACGAGTCTATGCATAGTCCAATCAAAATCACGTAATGAAATCGACCACCAGTTCGTAAACTGCCATGCAGATTTCGGTTGATTGCCAATCTCATTAAAATCAGACCTTAGCTCTCGCTACCGCTAAACAAAGTTCTCAGGACATCCCATTATGGGTCACGTCAGACCGACCTTGCGCGAACTTTGACCGACCAATAGAATGACCAATCAGAAGGCAGCTTTCTTGTGCTTTACGGCACTAATTTCAAATTGGCGACTACGCTTCGAAACATATTTTGACAAATTCACGATTACAAATTTGAAACCTGAACAAAAGAACATTCTGGAATGGCTAATAGATGATCTAGATTGTATGGATTCAGTCGTTAAACCTGTAACTATCGTTCGGAATACCTTGTGTTAAAGTTTTCGAGGTTGTATGATAAGAAATCACATTCCAACTGTCACTTTCATGATCTGGTCAGCGACGCTCTGATTGGTCGGATGAAAGGTCGTTCTGACGTGATCTGATTTTAATGAGATTGACAGTGAGACAGATCAGGGACACTTTGAATCAGTAATAGTTGATGATGCCTCACCTTTTACGAGATTCTAAAGTTAAATTATTTACACAGTAGAAGTCTGCCCGGAACTCCCCAACCATTTCCTGAAAGAAAAGGGGAATTGGTAGATAAATATTCAACAGTTAACTATACTTTCAATTTGATTATAGTTTTAATCTGACCAGTATCTATTATTTGTCATTTTCAGGACAGGCATCAGTTTTGTGAATTAAAATAAGGGACAATTTCAAGAATATATTTTTCTAAGAAGCGATTTCTTTCCTGACCAATTCATGAATCAGCATCAAAATAATGGCAAGAGCAAAAACTGGCTTCCCGCAATGATCGCGGATGATTTGCAGATCACAATATTGTCCTATTATGTACATTTCCCAAAGAGCAATTTGAGACTTGTGTTTGTTTGTTTGTTGTTCAATGCCGCACTCAGCAATATTCCAGCTATATGACAGCGGTCTGTAAAATAAACGAGTCTGGACCAGACAATCCAGTGATTGACATTATGAGTATCGACCCACGCAATTGGGATCGATGACATGTATCAACCAAGTCAGCGAGACTGACCACCCGATCCCGTTAGTCGCCTTTTACGACAAGCATAGTCGCCTTTTACGGCAAGTATGGGTTGCTGAAGACCTATTCTACCCCGGAATCTTCATGGGTCTTGAGACTTGGTGAATAAGCAGTACTATTGCCTTGGACAGCTGTGTTTCAGGAGAGGGGGACAACCTACTGTCTTGTCTTCTCGGAAGAGCCATCCACTCTGGGCCCTGGAGAAGGAGATATTCTTGGTGGACATCTGGGCGGCCATGATGTCACTGCTCATCAGGATGTCCACCTCGTCCTCCAGCTCCATCTCACTCTCCTGCAACACAGCTCGCAACATCATCGTACGCAGAACAAGCCATGAGGAAGTCTGTTATTATGTTTTCGAGGTCCTATTATTATCAGATCTCTGGTAAACTAGCTATATATTGATGCATAAATGTATTTTGACCTATGTTATCCCAGTGATGTGTATGTGTGTTAGCCAGTTACAGCTCACATCCTAGCATTATTTCTGAATGCAGATGGAAAATCTTTGTCTGTTGTCCACAAACTACAGCCCAAATGACAACAAAAACAACTGTAACTGTCAATATTACAAAAATACTGACAACACAGCATTGATTGAACCAGCCTCATCAAGCTATATGTGTGAGCTTTGAAACAAATTCAAGTTGCCACTGGCTCAAATACTATCAGTTTTGGCTGATAGTCATATTACTGCTTGAGCTTAACCAATGGGTGCTTGAGACTGTCACCTGAAATGTACCCTTTACAAACATATACACTAGGAAGGTCACGATTCACCAATGCATCTGTAATATTCTCGGACGATTTGATATGCTATACACTCTTACCTATACAGATTCGTATTTAAATACTGTATCGATTCATGTTTTAAGCCTGTAAGCGTTTCACAGATGGACCCATTCATTCATACATAATCTTTTCTATTTCAGGGACACCCGGAATTTGCTATGTTATTAATAAGAGAAAATACCTATGTTGATACACCAGTTTTAACTGAAATTAAGTATTGACTGAATAAGATATTTTTATTTTGAAACATGAGTCCAGATATTCAAGAAATTCTTAAGCATTCTTAATAATGTTTATGCCCTATGAAATTTAAAACTTCACACAAAATTGCAGCAAATTAAGTATCACGATACATATCATAAAAGGAAATAGTCGTATCATGACATCCCTCATATACACACAAGTGATCTGATCATCTGAAGTAGTAAAGGTTTCAAATGCTGCTGTAATGGACTCTTTGACTTGAGACAATATACATGATATATGAAGAAAGATCGAAGGAGAATGAACATGCATATAATAACATTCTCACATTTAAAAGACAGAGTAGAGATAGTCAAATGATAAATAATAGCTACCATTGTCGGACTGACCTCGTATCGGATACGCTGGAACACCTTGAGTTTGTTGTCCAATACTGTGAGAGACTGGCGTGGACCAGCATCGCCATTAAATACAAATGATATATCACCCCGCTCCCAATGCATGTCATTAAAATCTACTAAAGTTGTGTCTAATCTGCAATGAAAAGAAAACAGCAGTCACAACCACAATCAGTCTAATAACAGCTAATACTTGTCCTAGTTTACTTTAAACATGGTGATAACATCTGAGGCTGGTTGGTTTGTTGTTTAACGCCGCACTCAGCAATATTCCAGCTATATGACGGCGGTCTGTAAATAATCGAGTCTGGACCAGTGATTGACATCATGAGCATCGATCCACGCCATTGGGATCGATGACATGCATCAACCAAGTCAGCGAGCCTGACCACCCGATCCCGTTAGTCGCCTTTTACGACAAGCAAAGTCGCCTTTTACGGCAAGCATGGGTTGCTGAAGACCTATTCTACCCCGGATCTTCACGGGTCTGATGACATCTGAGATAAATTAGCGTGAATAGTCATCTTCACTAATTCACTCTTTAACTGTGTGTATTCTAGGGGTGTTACGATTCACTCGCGTATTTGGTGGATCGAACCGTATCCCTCCATGAACTGAATTTGTTATTCGCAGTCACTTGAATCTAATATTTATGATTTTTAAAAATCTTGAACTTGTCTGTTATGTTATAGATTTCTTAAGAAAGATAACTCTCTCATATATTTTATTTGACAGTAATGTGGTCACTTGTCATCTCATTTGAGCAGATACTACCTGGATAAGCACGATAAGTGCAGCATATAAATGAATAATATAAAAATAATAAACACTGTCAACATGGTCAAACCATGTCAAATAATTGATTTTGTCATTGTTTCACTGACTGAATACAATAAATAATACATCAACTGCCAACTTGTTTTTGTATTCATGAATAAATATTCATATTTGTTACCGTATATTCGTGATATGCATCGTATTCGCCTCATAGTGTATTGGTTACAGCCCTAGTGTCTTCAAATTTTAGACCACATGAAGGGAGAAAACTTTCAAGACTTGAAATTAGATTTTAATCAAGAACTTAACAAATGTGTTATTTAGGTGGGTGCAATTATTGACAAGTTCAGTCAAAATTGTAGCAAAAACATATATGTTCTTTTGTTATCTAAGAAGATGTACCAAGGCTTCAACAGGTATGATTTCATGTATATAACACTGCTTCTATGTCATATCAAACACCAACAATGCAATGAAAGATATTGCAAGGCCATGTGCATGATTTAGTACCAGGTATTTCATTTTCAAGTTGTCAGTTTTATCTACCATATATTACCTTATACAAGCCCCTTTCTTGCGTATTTTGCATATATCTGAAGGTAGAATTCTGGACACTAAGGGTACTGAAAAACACAAACAAAAGATCTTCTACATCCAAACTATTGACTCTGTCATTGTCATGTTTGACAGTGACAGTCTACAGCAATCTATGAATTTACCTCAGTATCTAATTGACACATCTTCATAATCACAATCAATGATCAGCCAATAGATCAATGATGACGAACACCTGTAATGACTATAGGTCCATTAACAACTTCAGAAATATGTCTGTCACATTATTCATATTTATCAGGGAGCACAGGTGGCCCAGTCGTCTAAGACCCTGCGATTCGTTGTGCAGAGTTGCGTCCCTTAGGCACGCCAGAAACCTATGATTGTGGGTTCAAATCCCGGTTCGCCCCGATTATGTTTCTAGGTTTGTCAGCACCATACCCGTGCTCGTGGGTTTCACCGAAGTGGTAAACGACTGAGACCTGCATCACTTCGGGCTTTCCTCCCACATTAAGCTGACACGCCGTGATATGACTGGAATACTGTTAAAAGCGGCGTTAAACCCAACTCACTCATTCACTCATATTTATCATGGCGGCCATTTTGATAAGATGTTAAACATGCGTTGTCACTGTGACAGACTTACTGAGGTAATTCAATACAGATCTTTCTCAACCTTTGACAATATTAAATAAATCTATTTGTTGTAAATAAACTACTAAGGATGTTACTGTAGAGTGTTAGACTGAGGGCCAAACATTGTTAGCTCTGACATTCATACAGTTTGGCCCTCACTCTATGAATTCACACTCTCGTGAACTCACACAGAGTGAAAGTCAATTCTTAAGTGAAGACAGTCAAATGTGAAGAAACGTCATGTAAGTCTCACCCCAGCTCTGAAAGTCCCACTTGAGTTCGAGGTAGAAATCATCTATTTCCTTCAAGGCTTGGATGAGTGATGGACGCCTTTCTTCTAGCAATTCTCGAGACTGTTGCTTCAGCTTCCGTAGCAGGGAAACAACTAAAAATGAAGTTTTGAAAGCATGAACTAGAAACCCGCACAGCTCAAACCCACAGGTCATCTTGACCTAAACTGGGAGGAATCTTTACTAAAACTAACTGCCATCACGCGACTGTCACATCACTTGAAGTGTCTCGATCTGCTCTTTCAAATCAATGAGTATTAATACTTTCTACTTTCCAAATCATTATTTCAGCTGATTTCTGAAAGTTTTTCATAATCACCACACAGTATGCACATTTCAGACATCACACAGGTGAGATCTGGGAATGCTGTGTAATTTAAAGCCCCATTCAACAATATTTCAGCTCGATATTTCTGACATGAAAACACATGAAAATAGTGTACTGTAAAATTCAATAACAAGGTAGGACTACCGGTAGATATATTGCACTAATGAAGAACAAACTCTCTGTATTTCAACATACTTCAGATTTTTACCTCATACTAATGACTTCAGTTTGAACAAAGCTGGATCAAATCTCTGTTTAAGAGCTCTAAATTGAAAACACCGTAGCTTTGAATTGCTTATAGCCTTGTTGTAAGCATGTAAAACATGGTGAAAGATCGGACAAGTGTTCCTCACTAGCATGGTGGACATAATTCTGTTTTATTGATTTGGTACATCATCATCATCATCATCATCATCATCATCATCATCATTTTCTATATTTCATCCAATCAACAATGCTTTCAAGAGATCATTGAACAATACTTAAAGCAGTTTCATTTCATTCTCTGCCCCTTTTAATTTCCAATCATCATCATCATCATTTTCTATATTTCATCCAATCAACAATGCTTTCAAGAGATCATTGAACAATACTTAAAGCAGTTCATTTCATTCTCTGCCCCTTTTAATTTCCAAAAAAGAATCCTTAAACTAAGTATCAAAAACAGAAAGACTCCTCAAAAAGAAGTTGCATGTTTGTTTAGTGCCTGCACTATTTACTGGTCTGTCTGTTGCCAAAGCTGATGGCTAACTTACTGGTCTGTCTGTTGCCAAAGCTGATGGCTAACTTACTGGTCTGTCTGTTGTCATAGCTGATGGCTAACTTACTGGTCTGCCGGTTTCCATAGCTGATGGCTAACTTACTGGTCTGTCTGTTGCCAAAGCTGATGGCTAACTTACTGGTCTGTCTGTTGTCATAGCTGATGGCTTACTTACTGGTCTGCCGGTTTCCATAGCTGATGGCTAACTTACTGGTCTGTCTGTTGCCAAAGCTGATGGCTAACTTACTGGTCTGTCTGTTGTCATAGCTGATGGCTAACTTACTGGTCTGTCTGTTGCCAAAACTGATGGCTTACTTACTGGTCTGCCTGTTGCCATAGCTGATGGCTAACTTACTGGTCTGTCTGTTGCCATAGCTGATGGCTAACTTACTGGTCCGTCTGTTGCCATAGCTGATGGCTAACTTACTGGTCTGTCTGTTGCCATAGCTGATGGCTAACTTACTGGTCTGCCTGTTGCCATAGCTGATGACTTACTTACTGGTCTGTCTGTTGCCATAGCTGATGGCTAACTTACTGGTCTGTCTGTTGCCATAGCTGATGGCTAACTTACTGGTCCGTCTGTTGCCATAGCTGATGGCTTACTTACTGGTCTGTCTGTTGCCATAGCTGATGGCTAACTTACTGGTCTGTCTGTTGCTATAGCTGATGGCTTACTTACTGGTTGGCCTGTTGCCATAGCTGATGGCTAACTTACTGGTCTGTCTGTTGCCACAGCTGATGGCTAACTTACTGGTCTGTCTGTAGCCAAAGCTGATGGCTAACTTACTGGTCCGTCTGTTGCCATAGCTGATGGCTAACTTACTGGTCTGTCTGTTGCTATAGCTGATGGCTTACTTACTGGTCTGTCTGTTGCTATAGCTGATGGCTTACTTACTGGTCGGCCTGTTGCTATAGCTGATGGCTAACTTACTGGTCTGTCTGTTGCTATAGCTGATGGCTTACTTACTGGTCTGTCTGTTGCTATAGCTGATGGCTTACTTACTGGTCGGCCTGTTGCCATAGCTGATGGCTAACTTACTGGTCTGTCTGTTGCTATAGCTGATGGCTTACTTACTGGTCTGTCTGTTGCTATAGCTGATGGCTTACTTACTGGTCGGCCTGTTGCCATAGCTGATGGCTAACTTACTGGTCTGTCTGTTGCTATAGCTGATGGCTAACTTACTGGTCTGTCTGTTGCTATAGCTGATGGCTTACTTACTGGTCTGTCTGTTGCTATAGCTGATGGCTAACTTACTGGTCTGTCTGTTGCTATAGCTGATGGCTTACTTACTGGTCTGTCTGTTGCTATAGCTGATGGCTTACTTACTGGTCTGTCTGTTGCCATAGCTGATGGCTTACTTACTGGTCTGCCTGTTGCCATAGCTGATGGCTTACCTACTGGTCTGTCTGTTGCTATAGCTGATGGCGTACTTACTGGTCTGTCTGTTGCTGTAGCTGATGGCTAACTTACTGGTCTGCCTGTTGCTATAGCTGATGGCTTACTTACTGGTCTGTCTGTTGCCATAGCTGATGGCTAACTTACTGGTCTGTCTGTTGCCGTAGCTGATGGCTTACTTACTGGTCTGCCTGTTGCCATAGCTGAAGGCTTACTTACTGGTCTGTCTGTTGCCATAGCTGATGGCTTACCTACTGGTCTGTCTGTTGCTATAGCTGATGGCTTACTTACTGGTCTGTCTGTTGCCATAGCTGATGGCTAACTTACTGGTCTGTCTGTTGCCGTAGCTGATGGCTTACTTACTGGTCTGCCTGTTGCCATAGCTGATGGCTAACTTACTGGTCTGTCTGTTGCCATAGCTGATGGCTTACCTACTGGTCTGTCTGTTGCTATAGCTGATGGCTTACCTACTGGTCTGTCTGTTGCCATAGCTGATGGCTTACTTACTGGTCTGCCTGTTGCCGTAGCTGATTGCTAACTAACTGGTCTGCCTGTTGCCATAGCTGAAGGCTTACTTACTGGTCTACCTGTTGCCAAAGTTGATGGCTTACTTACTGGTCTGCCTGTTGCTGTAGCTGATGGCTTACTTACTGGTCTGTCTGTTGCCAAAGCTGATGGCTTACTTACTGGTCTGTCTGTTGCCATAGCTGATGGCTTACTTACTGGTCTGCCTGTTGCCGTAGCTGATTGCTAACTAACTGGTCTGCCTGTTGCCATAGCTGAAGGCTTACTTACTGGTCTACCTGTTGCCAAAGCTGATGGCTTACTTACTGGTCTGCCTGTTGCTGTAGCTGATGGCTTACTTACTGGTCTACCTGTTGCCAAAGCTGATGGCTTACTTACTGGTCTGCCTGTTGCTATAGCTGATGGCTAACTTACTGGTCTGCCTGTTGCCGTAGCTGATGGCTTACTTACCGGTCTGTCTGTTGCCATAGCTGATGGCTAACTTACTGGTCTGTCTGTTGCCATAGCTGATGGCTTACTTACTGGTCTGTCTGTTGCGATAGCTGATGGCTTACTTACTGGTCTGCCTGTTGCCATAGCTGATGGCTTACTTACTGGTCTGCCTGTTGCCGTAGCTGATGACTTACTTACTGGTCTGTCTGTTGCCATAGCTGATGGCTTACCTACTGGTCTATCTGTTGCCATAGCTGATGGCTTACTTACTGGTCTGCCTGTTGCCGTAGCTGATGACTTACTTACTGGTCTATCTGTTGCCATAGCTGATGGCTAACTTACTGGTCTGTCTGTTGCCATAGCTGATGGCTTACTTACTGGTCTGTCTGTTGCCATAGCTGATGGCTTACTTACTGGTCTGCCTGTTGCCATAGCTGATGGCTAACTTACTGGTCTGCCTGTTGCCGTAGCTGATGGCTTACTTACTGGTCTGCCTGTTGCCATAGCTGAAGGCTTACTTACTGGTCTGTCTGTTGCCATAGCTGATGGCTACTTACTGGTCTGTCTGTTGCCGTAGCTGATGGCTTACTTACTGGTCTGCCTGTTGCCGTAGCTGATGGCTTCTGCGAGGGGCGTCCATCCCTGGAGGTTCTTCACCTTCACCGGGGCGCCATGGGCCAACAGGAGGTGCACACACTCTGGCAACACAGGCAGTCACAGATCAACAACAGGCATAAACAACATAAACAACCACTGCTGGACTTACAGGATTTAAGTTAAAATAATTTGTACATATGCTTCTGATATTCAGCATACCACATACCTGCTACATATAAACTTTCATTATCTCATATGCAGAAATGGCTAAATAATAGGCTAAAAGTCATTTTCAATATGGCCACCATATCTTCCATGTTTAAATTCTGTGAGCATTTCTTAGTGACGCCATAGCTTGGACCATTCACACAAAGTCTTAGCACCATAGGCCTCATAGTTTCAGAGGTGATGTAAAAGATAACACTAAAAGGCTAACATCAACAGACAAAGTGCCATGATATACATAATACTTTCAGTCAGGTGAGCTAAATATATCAAAACAATAAGTGTGTCAGTGAGTGAGTGAGTATGGTTTTACGCCCCTTTTAGCAATATTCCAGCAATATCACGGCGGGGGACACCAGAAATGGGCTTCACACATTGTACCCATGTCGGGATTCGAACCTGGAACTTCGGCGTGATGAGTGAACGCTTTAACCACTTGGCTACCCGACCGCCCCCTAAGTGTGTCAGCTAGCTACTACAATAGGCTACATGTATAACATGAACAACCAAAGATTAAAACAAGGGAATGCTTGACTCACCCTTGTGCCCCAACATGACAGCCAAGTGGAGAGCTGTATTGCCTGGAAAAGAGACAATACATGTCTGGTGAACACAGTGAATCTCTGTCCATGTCACCGAATGTAACATGGATGAATAGCAATACATGCAATATGAAGGCCAAACAATGCATCTTGATAACCATCAGAATATTTTGACAGGCAGGGTTTTACCGGATGCAAAATATTCCATTCTATGCTCCTGAGAAAAGAGAATGGAAGCAAATAATAGATACCGTATTCAACGTAATAAGCGCCCCGCTCTAATAAGCGCCCACAGCGATATTTGCTAATATATTGGCTAGTGAACAATCCCAATTTGCACCTCTTCCGAATGATCAATGTACACAAGACTTATTTATTCACAAATAATACGAACTGCCTCCATGGGCTAGAGGTAGAGCGTCTGCCCGGAGAGCGGAAGGTCCGGGGTTCGACCCGTGCTCGTGGGTTTCACCGAAGTGGTAAACGTCTGAGACCTGCATCACTTCGGGCTTTCCTCCAACATTAAGCTGACACGCAGTGATATAAAAGGAATAATGGAAAAAGCGGCTTTAAACCCAATTCACTCTCTCTCTAATTCTTAACAACCAGGGAGGGACGACGAATTGTGGATTATCTGTCGCACGTGAATGAATGTTTTATTTCATGTCCTCAGTAAAGGCTCAGTTTCACGTCCTTTGTTCTAGTGGTCTAGTGGTAGAGCATGCGCCCGGAGGTATGGTATCTCAGTGGGCTAACACTTTAAATCAACACCAGTTCTGACTAGTACAAGCAGCCACACACACGTGCGTGCACGTCGCTATATACACATGATTTAAGTGCAATAGTCTTGGATGCGACGTTAAACACAATTTCACCTCACCTCACATATAATACGCACTCGTATGTAAGATGCACACTTAATTATTGGCAATTACATACTGGAAAAATATATCTGTCGTATATAAACATTTCAGGCTGTCAGGATAAACTACAAAATTTATCTTTCAACTCTATTTTTTCACCAAAATAATATTCTAATAAGAGCCCCTATTTCTAATTTTGAGTGCGCCCCAGGCGGTTATTACGTCGAATACGGTAAGTCCTATAGGATGCCAACAAGTATGGCTGTTTCAGTCGTTACATTTATGAAAATTGTTGACTTCGCACAGACTCCACGAAATTTATAACTGAGTGTCTTCCAGACTTGAAAATAAATAGACTCATGTATATCCCTGGAAAAGTATCAAAATGTCTGAAATATGTAGTTACTGAAGGCTGCTGAAGTTCATTTAAATGAGTAACTAGGCTTGAGAACGAGCTTAGCTAAATGTTTAATTTTCATGTCCTATGTATCTCAATCTATCGCTGACATGATTGATTACCTAATTACACAGAGACAATTTCTCACAAAGATGTGACGATGTGACAGAGGTACTCAGCTGGCCACAAAGAACCCAAGGTAGGAGAGTGATTGTCTTCATACGACCAAGGCATATATATATTGTAGTGAGTGAGTGAGTTGGGTTTAATGCTGCTTTTAACAGTATTCCAGTTCTATCACGGCGTGTCAGCTTAATGTGCCGGAAGTGATGCAGGTCTCAGTCGTTTACCACTACAGTGAAACCCAAGAGCATGGGTATGGTACTGACAAACCTAGAAACATAATCGGGACGAACTGGGATTTGAACCCACAATCATAGGTTTCTGGCGTGCCCAACTCTGCACAGCGAATCGCAGCACCTTAGACGACTGGGCCACCCGTGCCCCCTATTTATATTGTAATCTAGGCTTTGATAAACATTGGCTTCTTACCTAATCAAGCCGGCATTTAGTATTTTGTAACTCAGACATAAGAAAAACACAAGCTTTCTCTCCAATTTGCCTCTTTTAAAAAAATGAAGTCAATTTACTCTGCGCAGCGCTTGCGTTGTCAGCTTCACTGTGCAGAGCTCTATTTTTTTGGTTTGAGTACACAGACTAGGACATGTGACGTCACTCTCAAAAATTAGTTCATGCATTATTTAAAAACACACAGAACCATCTACGTACTGTCCCTTTAAAGCAACAAATTATGACCTAAACCAATAAAACAATTTACAATGATTGTAAAATTTTATTTTTTCTTGATTGCTGATGATTATCATTAAAAAGGTCCTAATATATTGATATATTGTGTATGCATTTAGCATCTATTAAATGAATAATGCGTCATAATGTCAGGCTGCCATTAAGAAAGTTATTTCACACGATTTCGTTTCATGGCAGTTCATTATCTTTTCTGTGATAAAATGTTAACGACAAATAGGTTAATAAACAACTTGTCATATCCTCACAACTTGACGAGTGGATAATAATTGTTACTATTCACATTAAAATCCGACGTGGTGTATGCACAAGCTGATGACAGATTAAAGAATAGCAAAGAAATATTAAATTAAATTTGACATGATTTTCCACATCTGATTCCATTTAAGCCGCGAATAAAAATCCTGTTATTTCCAAAGGGTACAACTCTTGACGATTGGTTAGAACTAACCATGAATGTCTTTCTTTGAGAGATCATAAGTTCTGATAAGTTGCGAAACTCGACGTATATCATCATTAAAAACACTTTCATGTAAGGGGTAATCCGAGTTGGCCGCCATCTTTATTTACAAGCTGACGTCAAGGGGAGCAGTCATTGTGTTAAGCTGTTTTTAATTGTGTAGAATTGAGTTTAGCTTAATCTTTATGTTAAGGCCAACACAAAACGCCACAACACTTGTAATAAAAGCTAGACATTATACAGAAAAGGGCATTGCTGGAAATATACAGATGTTGTTCATAAACATTTATTCAGAACGTAGTTCGGATTTTAAGTCACCGGACCAAACCTTTTTTACATTTTCACTTCAATGCATCAACTGTAACATCCGCTTCGACTATATTTGCCACTGTGACCAACAGTCTTCAGAAAATGTGTTTACCCGATGTCATTATTTGACATGAAACTGTATTGATTTAAATGTTGATTCATAGTTGATGAATGTGTCAAACGGAGTGAGTAAGTGAATGAGTGAGTGAGTGAGTCGGGTTTTACTTTGCTGTGAATAGTAAAGGCCTATATCACGGCATCGAATATAGGCATGGGATCACACACAATGCCACAGCGTTATTGTATAATTAATATAGCTGAATTGATCATGGCCATTTTAATTTTTTATTGGCAGTTTTGACTTTCTTTGTGGTCCTTTTGACTGGATTGATTTCACACGAATAATATGAACTATAAGCGGATTGGAGAACCTTTTCTCAACTGATGACAAGACTTGGACAGGAGAACCTTGTCTTAACTGATGACAAGACTTTGGATCGGAGAACCTTGTCTCAACTGATGACAAGACTTTGGATCGGAGAACCTTGTCTCCACTGATTAGACTGTGGATCGGAGAACCATGTCTCAACTGATGACAAGACTTTGGACCGGAGAACCTTGTCTTAACTGATGACAAGACTTTGGATCGGAGAACCTTGTCTCAACTGATAAAAAGACTTTGGATCGGAGAACCTTGTCTCCACTGATTAGACTGTGGATCGGAGAACCTTGTCTCAACTGATGACAAGACGTTGGATCGGGGAACCATGTCTCAACTGATGACAAGACTTTGGATCGGAGAACCTTGTCTCCACTGATTAAACTGTGGATCGGGGAACCATGTCTCAACTGATGACAAGACGTTGGATCGGAGAACCCCGTCTTAACTAATGACAAGACTTTGGATCGGAGAACCTTGTCTCAACTGATGACAAGATTTTGGATCGGAGAACCTTGTCTCCACTGAATAGACTGTGGATCGGAGAACCTTGTCTCAACTGATGACAAGACTTTGGAGCGGAGAACCTTGTCTCAACTGATGACAAGACTTTGGATCGGAGAACCTTGTCTCCACTGATTAGACTGTGGATCGGAGAACCTTGTCTCAACTGATGACAAGACGTTGGATCGGGGAACCATGTCTCAACTGATGACAAGACTTTGGATCGGAGAACCTTGTCTCAACTGATGACAAGACTTTGGATCGGAGAACCTTGTCTCCACTGATTAGACTGTGGATCGGAGAACCATGTCTCAACTGATGACAAGACGTTGGATCGGAGAACCATGTCTCAACTGATGACAAGACGTTGGATCGGAGAACCTTGTCTTAACAGATAACAAGACTTTGGATCGGAGAACCTTGTCTTAACAGATAACAAAACTTTGGATCGGGGAACCTTGTCTTAACAGATAACAAGACTTTGGATCGGAAAACCTTGTCTCAACTGATTAGACTGTGGATCGGAGAACCTTGTCTCAACTGATGACAAGACGTTGGATCGGGGAACCATGTCTCAACTGATGACAAGACTTTGGATCGGAGAACCTTGTCTCCACTGATTAGACTGTGGATCGGAGAACCATGTCTCAACTGATGACAAGACGTTGGATCGGAGAACCCCGTCTTAACTAATGACAAGACTTTGGATCGGAGAACCTTGTCTCAACTGATGACAAGATTTTGGATCGGAGAACCTTGTCTCAAAAGAAAAGACTGTGGATCGGAGAACCTTGTCTCAACTGATGACAAGACTTTGGAGCGGAGAACCTTGTCTCAACTGATGACAAGACTTTGGATCGGAGAACCTTGTCTCCACTGATTAGACTGTGGATCGGAGAACCTTGTCTCAACTGATGACAAGACGTTGGATCGGGGAACCATGTCTCAACTGATGACAAGACTTTGGATCGGAGAACCTTGTCTCAACTGATGACAAGACTTTGGATCGGAGAACCTTGTCTCCACTGATTAGACTGTGGATCGGAGAACCATGTCTCAACTGATGACAAGACGTTGGATCGGAGAACCATGTCTCAACTGATGACAAGACGTTGGATCGGAGAACCTTGTCTTAACAGATAACAAGACTTTGGATCGGAGAACCTTGTCTTAACAGATAACAAAACTTTGGATCGGGGAACCTTGTCTTAACAGATAACAAGACTTTGGATCGGAGAACCTTGTCTCAACTGATGACAAAACTTTGGATCGGGGAACCTTGTCTCAACTGATGACAAAACTTTGAATCGGAGTACCTTGTCTCAACTGATGACAAGACGTTGGATCGGAGTACCTTGTCTCAACTGATGACAAGACGTTGGATCGGAGTACCTTGTCTCAACTGATGACAAGACGTTGGATCGGAGTACCTTGTCTCAACTGATGACAAGGCGTTGGATCGGAGTACCTTGTCTCAACTGATGACAAAACTTTGGTCATTTTGATTTTTTATTGGCAGTTTTGACTTTCTTTGTGGTCCTTTTGACTGGCTTCATTTCACACGAATAATATGAACTATAAGCGGATTGGAGAACCTTTTCTCAACTGATGACAAGATTTTGGACCGGAGAACATTGTCTAAACTGATGACAAGACTTTGGATCGGAGAACCTTGTCTCAACTGATGACAAGACGTTGGATCGGAGTACCTTGTCTCAACTGATGACAAGACGTTGGATCGGGGAACCTTGTCTCAACTGATGACAAGACTTTGGATCGGGGAACCTTGTCTCAACTGATGACAAGACTTTGGATCGGGGAACCTTGTCTCAACTGATGACAAAACAAGAATAAGACAAGAGTGGAAGACCCCGGGAGGATTCTCAGGCAGAATAGGTCCCCAGTAGCACATGCTTGTCGTAACAGTCGACCAAAACGGGGAACAGGTGGGCAGACTCTGTGACTTGTCACCACATCCCGAAGTGAGACGGTGATCATCATATCAACCACTGGTTTGTGTGGACTAAACTGGATATTTACAGACCTTCGTAATATAACTGGGGTATTGCTGACTTAGCGTAAGACGACAATGAAACAAAAACCACATGTGATAAGTGAGTAAGAAGCATATTAAATACTCATTCTGAACAGCCAAGGAGCGACGACGAATTGTGGATTATCTGTCGCACGCGAATGAATGTTGTATTTCATGTCCTCAGTAAAGGCTCAGTTTCACGTCCTTTTGTTCTTGACCGCCCCCATGGTCCAGTGGTAGAGCGTCCGCCCGGAGAGCGTAAGGTCCGGGGTTCGATCCCCGGCCGCGTCATACCAAAATACGTTAAAAGATGGTAGTTGTTGTTACCCTGTCTGGCGCTCGGCATTAAGGGGCTAAAACAAGGAATGGTCGCTCGGAGTCAGTATACTGTGTCTGAGTGGGGAATTCATGTTAAACTGCGGCATGGTATCTCAGTGAGCTAGCACAATAAATCGGCATCAGTCCGGACTAGTACAAGCACACACACACATACACGCACACGCGCACACACACACACACACACACACACGCATGGACGTCGCTATGTAAGTGCAATAATCTTGGACGAGACATTAAACCCCATTTCACCTCACCTAAAAAAAAAGTATAGTGCAATATTACCTATAATGACAAATCATTTTTGAGGCTCGCTAAAATGCATGTGTAAATTATTAATTTATGATTCCTATTACCTAATGGGTAATATAAGACATATATATTTACTCTATGCTAAGCCATAGCAATAGACATGTATGCTAATAATATTAACATTATTCATTTACTGACGAAACACATTTAGTTTTATTTAGTGGCATACTTATACTGAAATGCAGAAACCAAAATCGATTGTTTTGAAATGTTTTATGACGATTCCACGATTGCAGTTAATTGGCTACCTTTCAGTTGCTTACTCTGCTTCTTCGCATCATCATATGACATGACCCAGTCTTCGTGGTCCTCGAGGACCATGGGTACAATGTTTAAAGCCCATTTCTGGTGCCCCACCGCCGTGATATTGCTGGAATATTGCTAAAAGCGGCGTAAAGCCATACTCACTCACTCTGGAGGAACATTCCTACTTTTCATCGGATATTAACTCTTTCAAGGTGTGGTTAGGTGTAGTATTTCATGGGTCCCGTAAAAAATTGATACCCGTAAAATATTGCCTCCCTATCTTGTGAAATTGTGACAGCCCCGCTCCCCTTACCCATGACCACAGAAATGTCTAAAACTAAAAAACTCGTGTCAATATCAGCTACTTTAATAACGAAAAACCGCCTTGAATTACACATGCATTATGCAGGTCTCTGATCTCTATCTGGTTTTGTTGACTGACAGGAAGAGAGTGTGATTGCAGTGTGGGGCCCCCAATTATCATCAACGATATTTATGTCAAAAGGTATACTTGTAAATTTCTTCATCCGATATCCCCCAAAGACTGAATCGGAACATATTCATGATCCCACTATACAAGCAACATTAGTTTTATGTCAGTTTAACTGTAAGATCAATATCAGCAGTTGTTGTAATCCTTTTCTTGTAATGACCCATTTTCCAGACAGTGGTCTAAATAAAGCCACAAAACCCTTTCCGTATCCAATAGAAATCTCTGCATAAAGCAGAGTCGATTGTACAATTTCGACTATATCATGAGCATGTGTTTATGAATCACTATAAAAAAGTAATGATACCAGGTGTTCACGAAAAGGTGAGCGTATCCTGCCCCAAGGGTGGCACCCGTCACAAACACATGCAAAGGCGAGTCAATTGTTTACCTGAAAAAAAACATAGGAACATGTGGTGCAAGTCAAAA